GAATTTATTACTGGTTGTATTGTGATAACAGAGGAGAGAAGAAATAATTCGTCTTTTCAGTTGCATTCTAAAGTACCTTAACTAGCCTGTGTGGACTTTTGACGAAAAAAGAGAATTATTTAAAGCTCTGGATTGAACAGTGACAATCAATAGTGTAAAGAATTTTGTTTGTACATACGTTTCAGTCGTTTTGAATATATATTATTTCAAAACAAGAGGATTGTGTGCTGTCTGTTTATTGTTGATATTTATTGCCAACAAGTCACAGATACCTACTGTAAATAATCTGGACCTATAAAAGTCTGACAGGTATTTAGATATAAAGACGTACTGCAGGATGCATTTCCCTGCTCTCACTGCCTTCAATGTATTACATCACCATCACTTGTGTAAACAAACACACCCGTGTCCCACGTGCTCCTGACGTTCAACGCCAGATCAACACAGGCACCGACTCTTTAAGTACAAGCTACAATTAAAGCAATATCTTTCTGTTCTCTGGTTTCCCCAGACAGATATTTCAGCAGCTTTCCTCGGATGCTTGTTAATGACTAAAGTTATATCCAATCTCTAAACTCCAACAAATTTAAATGTCATAGAGCAACAGGTCGCTAGTCCAAGTATCGGTATGTATCATACCCAAATAGCAGATATCAATACCCATGACACCCTTTTAGCCATATCCTTAATGTCGCGAGTAGGGGCTGAAGAGAAACAAGTTTCTGAGCTTCGGGGCTTGTTAGATCTTTAACCAAATATACTGCCAAGTTCATTTCAGGTATAAGGAACTTTTAATTTCCTGCAAATTGTTTATTACTTTCTCAATAGTTTTAATGAACTGTGGAGTAGGGTCCAGATATAATTTTTTTATGGTATTTAGTAAATTTGATGGTAAGCTTCTTTAAATATAGTCAGTTTTGTTAAGGATGGCAATGGTGACATTTTTTCAGCTAGTTTACTAACAATGTCATGTTTTAGTCAAGTCAGAGCTATACATTTATTGTAGAAGTTATTATGCATTATGACTTAATTCATTTCATTCTCAATGGTAATGATAAAGCTTTCTAAGTGTGGTTCTCTGGGGATTATCTGGAGGATTTATCTTTAAATTGTAAGAAGTGAGTGTTAGCATTACTGTACTTGTGAAAAACATTCATGGAGTCTTAGTCTGCAAGCAAATTCTTTAAAGTCATAAATACTTTCAAAACTGTCAAGATTAGGGGTAGAAGGTCTTTACTAAGAGGGTTAATTTCAACTTCAAATAATGTTTTAGAGGACAGGTTGTGGTTGCTTGAACAAATAACTAACTCAATTGGGTGAATCAGGAACAGAACGTGTTAGTTCACCCAATTTCTCTTTGATTGTGAAATTCTAAATTAACAAAATTGGTTTGTCTACAAGTGTCCCTACTTTGTGAACATGTTTTTAAGTTCTGGTTTGATAGACATTTTTTGCTTTCATGCTGAATGGAAAGCTGACGGTGTATTTGTTTTTTCTTGCATTTTGCATGTTTTTTAAAAGCAGTTTTAGTTTCGTTCTTGTTGTTTAGTACAGGTGGCGTTCAGAATTCATAACAGAAATGCTCTTGTCAAGATTGGTCATTGTTGTTCTGTATAAGTCATGTGCGAGTTCCTTATGTTTAATTGAGGTGGAGAATTTATTTCCATTGTAAATAAAACTGATTGTCATGGACTCCTATAGTAATGGGTAACTTTAAGCTTAAAGTAAGTATAATTCTGAAAATAAAACAACAGTTCAGTGTGGTGGGTGCATCTCAGGTGCTGTTCATTAATTTGTAAAAAGTTTATTAGTGTTAAAGTAGAAGAAACATGTAGAGGAGAACAGAAGAAGTTGTTCAAGGTGTGTGGATGTTTCTATGGGAGTTCTAGGTGGACAAGGTAATGTCTAAAATTTTAGAATGGATGTGTATAGCATAGGTTCTGTGGGTTAAGGGTCTGAAAGTAGAGGATATTAGGTGGATTGTAGATTATTAGTCTACAGGTGAGGTAAGACATGATCAGTAATAAGATAGCAGAAATTACAGAAGATTCCTTGGAAAGGATGATGTCAGTCATCCCTTGCTAAGAATTGTTTTCTAGTCTCAAGTGTGAAGCTAATGTTATAAAGAAAAGCTAAGCATGAGTTATACATGCAAAGATCATGTGCACATGTTAAACTTGTTAGTGTTTTGAATATTACTGCACACAATTGAATTTTAATTGGTTAGTGTTTTGAGTATAGCTTTATTAGTGTGGTATTTCTTATCTTAGTTAGTGAGGTGAACATTTCAGTTCATGAACATTTTTTAAAGTTTTTCATTCTTAAATGTTTCTATCCTTTGGTGAAGGATTGTGGTTAATTTCCTTTTACTGCAGTTACCTATTGTACAGGATCATTCCTCTAGGGTGTTATGTGCACTTTCTTATGGGAAAGATTGCTGTAAAGTAGAATATACTATGTAAAGGCAGCAATATTTTTTTCATTTATTTGAAGATATATCCTGCCTTATGTTTCTTTTGAAATTGTAGCATTTGTGCACTAAGAGGGATGATATCAGAGAATTTTGTATATAATGCTATGCTCTTTTAGTACGTAATGGGTGACAGTTGTAATCTAACGACTGAAGTTCTCATGTTAAGTTCAACAGTTTATTTTTTATTTTTAGTTTAACAAGATAAGAGAAGAATTTAAGAGGCCATCAGGAGTGTAAAAATTACAACTTTTCTAACGCACTTCTTTAATTTTTGTAATATTCAATAAAGAATGATTTTCACCTTGTTTACCTAGTATTTAGTTTTTTTCTTACTTAAACTCAAAGCTCAGATTTACTTTGTGATATATTTCCTGAGTAAACCTCATTTTCAAGGATTTGACAGGTGTACCAATGAATACCATATTAGTTGAATTTCATAGGACAGACTTGTTTTTGGCATTTTATTCTTGAAGCACAGTATGAAAATCAGTGTTCTTTGGCAAGTTTTCTTAACACTGTAGTATATGCTTATACACTGCAGCTATATGTTCCATGATACCCTGTTAGCACTTTCTGATAGTACTTTTTATGTACTATGGGCAAGCGTGTTGATACATTAACTAACAAAAAATCCAGAAACTTACCTTTATAATTGAAGTGATCTTGAACCCTACTTTCTGATTTAAATACACAGTTCAGTCTTACATTAAGCTTTCCTTAATTCATAGTGAGATACTATATAATACATAAACATGGTAACTTCATGTAATTGTCTATTCAGTTGTTTTATTAGGTTGTAACAGGTTATGCTGATTTCAATGCATAGTTATGTTTTAACTAAACATTTTCTGATTTATCTTTAACTACAGATTTCATTTGCTCTATATAATTTCAATTGATTTTTTCAAGTATCCTGTATAAAACTATCAAGATTAGTATAGAATCCACTGAATGCAGGTTTACAATAAACATTAATTGCAAAAATGTCACTATTAATATCTACCAGTACAGATAAAGAAGAAAAAACGTATTATCTGTTTGAAATTCAATTATAAACTCAAATATTATTGTGCTCTTTGTTTCAGTAATCAGAAAACTTTTCAAATTGTTGTTGGGTTTTAAAGATATGAAAAAATATCTACATATCTTGTATAACAAAGGTTTAACGTTTTTTTATGACAGCTGAAAAAAAAATATTTATTAAAAAAAGAGCCAAAGTTATGGCCTTAGCTACACCACTTTCTCACACATTTCATTATGAAACTGAAAGTATGATTTCATATTGGTAAATTCTAACAACTATTTGAAATGTTCTTTAGTAAATCCATTAACATCATCTCAATCTTCATATAACATTTGTAAATATATACTAATAGTCTTATCAAGTGGTTAATTAGTATATATAGATTAAATGTCAAACTAGTACAATAAACATCACTGTTATATGTATGGTGTTTTTTGAGTTTGTTTTTACTCACCGCAGTGAACCTAAATTTAAATATGATTTGAAAAACCTGCTACGTACTCTTCAAATCCTATATAAATATAGGATCACTGTGGTGAGTGAAAGACAACTTAAAACACTATACATATAGTGTACAATACACCTGTATATACAGAGCCTAGTCTTGTTCTTTCCATGTGCCCATGTCTTCAGGGTTACTGATGATGGGTGAAATTCTGTGAAACCAGTAAAACTTGGTGACAAATGGCAAAATGAATAACAGATTAGGCTTCATATATATTTTTAGCATTTTAAACATCGTTGTTGCACTGTATTTTTCAAGATATGAATTCAAAGTTTATTGTTTAACATTTTCAGTATAACTGTGTTAGTTGAACATTTATTAATGTTTTGAGTATAACAGAGTGGAACTGTATTAATTGAACATTCACAGATATTTTCAGATCTCCAATAAATGAGTGATTTTTCCTCCAATGCACTTATTTACTTCATTTTTTTTAAGTATTCAATAAAGATTGATTTTTAAATTGTTGACATTATTTTTAGTTTCTTTCTTGCTTAAATTCAGTCGTAGTCTGAACTCGGCTTTTCTCTGTCATACATTTCCTAAGAAAACCTCTATTTATTTGCGAGTATTACCTGACAAGTGTGGCTAAGAATACCATATTTATTGAATGCTTATTGTATCAGTGTTTTAAGTGTAACTATTAGCTGAATGTTTATTGACTAGTGTTTTAATTATAATTATTTGTTGAACATTAATTGGTTGTGTTTTGAGTATAAATGTGTTAGTTGAACATTTACTCATATTCATGGGACTTTAGAACATCTTCTGTGATAGAAAGATAATGTATACTAACATTCAGTGGGTTTTAGAACATTACATGTATAATAACCTTTTTTCTTAAGAAAAGAATATCCAAATGCATTTATCAAAGATTTCAGATTATAATTTTGCATCAGCTTTTCTTTGAACAGTTAGGAGCATTTCAAACATATTGAATTAAAGTAAAACATTAAGTCAGGATTTGTAAATTCAATATAATTACAGTTTCAAAATAATCTTTTGAACACAACTTAAATCTTTTTTTATAAAAAATTCATAAGCTACAGGTATCTTTCTTTTATCATGGCTTTACAGTTGACGTGATACCACACTTTTAAGTACAAAGCATTGATACGACTTGAACTTGTTTATTTCAGTATGAAGACAGTGAAAAAAATCATCATTTTTCTAAAATCACTGTTCAACAGTTAAAAATTCTGCAATCCTACAAACCACCGTTTGAACATCTGCTCACAGTTGTTTACTTGAACAGGAAACTAAAATTAAGAAAAAATAATTATTAATGCAGTTGATGTGAAAGGAAATTTTACTTGGTCCTAATTATTCTGGCCACAAGACTTCAAGTGGACAAATTTTTATTAAATTAACAGTTTAGTTTAATTTAAACTTTACTTACAAAAATGATCCTATTAAAACGTTTACTATAAAATAGAAAAGCCACACAAAAGGAGCTTACTTTAACAATGCTGTTTAAACATTTTATTACAGAACTACATAATCCATATAAAAATAGTTTCAGCTTTTATAAACAACTGCATAGATTTTCTTTTATTCATACATTAACAAGCAACCTCTGACTCAACAGCAACAGAAATGGTAGGGCACTTTGCAGGAACTATATACAGCATTTAGTCTCTCTGAAAATCTATAAGAATATGCATTATTCTATAAGGAATCCAGAGATGTAAGCTGATCTATAATTGGATAGCATCCAAAGAAGTTACGATTAGTTTTCGTCATTAGTGTTGGGTGACGTTTTACTCTTAATTCAGACAGTGGTAATGGCATTGTTGTAGTACATTATTTATGAAACACTCTCAGAAACTTTTGTGAAATCTGTGAGGAAGTGTTGAGACAATGAGTCAAAATCGCAGAGTGTTTCTTCTTGGAGATGGAAATGAGATTGACTTTAAAGCTAACCTGCAAATGTCCTAGGTGTTACAATTGTAGCAGTTGTGGATGCAATCACAATGGCTGGCCAGTTGCTCAAAAAGTTAGGCACAAGAGAAGTCAGAGAAGCTTCAGCAGAGGAGGAAGTGCTGTCAAACCCTTAAAGAGAAGTATGTATTTGTACAGGAGCAGTAAACTTATTGAGAATCTAATGACTTGCCCTCAAATGGGGAAAGAGAGTGAAGATGATTCGTAATGGTGCAAATCTCGAAGATGCAAAGAAAGAGAACGATTAAAGAACCTGTGAGGAATGGAGAATACAAAGATTTTTTCTGAGTGGCATGCAATAATATTACAAGGAAAAGGAGAGACAGTAGTGCTAAAATAATTGTGAAATAACACGACCATAACATGTGGGTGATCCACTTTGGTAGGAAAGAAACACCTCAACAATTACTCAGACAAAAAAAAACAAAACAGCATGGCAAAAATGATCCCTGGATCATGCCCTACACAGCCATGTACCTCAATCTTGGGCTTCCAGATTTCCAGATCTGATGGGATACTACACCATCTACTAAAATAGTCATATTTTCTGTCATTAAGTAAGAGATTGCTTGTTAATGAATGCGTAAAATATATTTAGTCTTACAATTTCCCTCCTTTCATGGTAATCTCCCAATATAAAGTTTTTGATTCAATATTCCCTAATATACATTGTTTTTAACTATAATGTGCTTAAACTAATGTCACTTTAACCTCAACTATTCACTGATGAAAAAATCAATTATGTTTGAACCATTACAATTATGTGAATGATCAAACACCACAATACTGAAAGAAGCAAACCCATAAAACCTTTATTTTTCACTCAACATGAAATTCAAACAGTAACAATGGAAACTTTGAAGTTCATAGCTCAGTTTTGTATAATTCTAATTGGTACTTTGGACAGTCACTGAATATCTTTGTACACACTCACTCACACTCATGCATATAGAAAGCTATTCTTTAAAATCTAACAATATGCTTTTATTATTGCAACTACCAGAAAAAAATTCTCACCTGTAGGGGTAACCATGGGCTTTTGACCGAAATATGGACAAAATCAGACTGAAGAAAAAAGCAACCAATGCTAAACCCACAACAGCCATGACTAAAAGAAAATAGAAAAAAAAAACTTCAGGTCAATGTGATGACTAAGTCTGGTAGCTTAGAAATAAGGGAAATGGATAATGAAAATTTATGGTTTTAACAATGCATACAACAAATATTAGGCTAAGCAAAGGTAAACTTTTTAAGTATTGCTTGTTGTATTAAATATATACTATTTAAATCAGATTTGTGAATACAACAATGATAGTTATTTAACAAAGAGTATGGTATAAAGAAATTAAGTTCCAGATAGAAAAGCATTGAGAATATTGTGTATTATACAAGGAATATGACAGTATAATGTTAAAAATATAATTATACAGTAAAAGTAGCAGAATGTATCAAAATGTGCTACACAAGAAATAGCAAAATGCTATTGATGTTTATATATATGAAACTTTTAATAAGTACTTTGACATTTACTTAGGTCAATCAAATAAAGCCCTAAAGCAGCTTAATATTTAAAAACATAAAATCACTTAGAATGAAAACGGATAGCTTGATTTAGTAAAAAGGGTCTCAGTAATACAATACTTAAGTAGGGTTCAAACATTTTTCTGGGATTAATTGGAAACTTCCATATCCAAATGTTGTTAGGCACACACAGCAGTGACAAAATAATTATAATGATAATAAATAATTTTTACCCAGAGTATATCTCGCCCTCTACATCAGCCTCGGATTGTCAGATAGCAGATGTATGCTTAATAATAAGTTGGCAAACAATGATTTATAAGCAAAATGAAGTGGTTTATTTTTAGGGGAGCATACTGAAAAAGACAGACCAATGTTCTGTTAAAACATGTACTATGTTTCCCAAAGAATAATTCATCGTACTTATAAATCCTTGTTTTCCAACGTATTATTATATTAGCATAATGTGCTTCCATACTCAAATAAGGTATATGCTTTTTTCTAAGTATGTGGCTGGACAGTGCACTTTCACCGATGTTCACTATCTAAAAATATTTATCACAAACTATGCACCTGGCAATATATTTGTTTGATAAATCTTTCATGGAAATAACACCCATTTTTGCATCAATTTGCTGCAATTTTTTCCCACTTGACTTCCTCACAAGACAAAACTTTTCCACACTATCAATACTACTGCTCATGCTCTCACAAGCACTCATATTTTCACTACCACTGATTACGGATAGTAAATATGAAGTAAATTACAAAACAATCAGTATCATAGGTTTGACTTTTAGAAATAACTGCTTGATTAAGTTTATAATTGACAGGTTTAGTGTAGTTTGTGTAAAATAAATTGATATATTTTTATATACATAAAATTAATACAATGACCATTTACACTCGCAATATAATTGTTATTGTAAGATGTGTATTACAACGTTGACTGTGGATACACATGTATATTAGGTATGATGCAGTACAATGAGACATCAACTGAATATTAAAGTGCATGTTATCGAAACTGCTTAATTTTTTTAAATATCACTTTTATCAATATTTGATAAGATGAACTTTCCAAAAGCCAATATGGTAAAATATTAGTTGTTAATAGATGTACAATATAACTATTGGGACATCTTTAACTTTAAACTATATAATATTGATTCTCCTGCGAGAAGAAAATCTTTTGAGATCCATCACACACACACATGCGAATAAAGAGGGTACCACTTTGAAGTATAACCAAGAAGTTGGTGTTTTATGGCATCATTCAACAAGAGATAAAAGTATTCATTTTTGGCCTTATTGTACTCTATATTTTACATTCACAAACTTTATTGGTATATAAAGTACATGATTATTTAAAATATATACGATGTAAGAAAGTTATATAAGAATTACCTTTCTGTTCAAGCATTTTTCCATATGTGTACAAACCCTGTTAAGAGTAGCTGTAAAGAAGTTACCACAACTTCACTGAATACGTAACACAGTTCTTCAAAGTATTGAAAAAAGTAAAGTTATTTATAATTTGATTCAATCAATAAACAAAAGTGTACCATATCTTGTCAACAAGACCTCCTGTCACTTGGTAAGGTAATGAATAAGATAACAGCATAATTATACACTCTTCAAACTGCATCTAGAATTTTGAAAATAGCCTGAATAAGTTATGTATATCTCCATAACATCTGCTTCTACATACACTGGAATCTTCTTCAAGAACAAAAAGTCTCTAGACAAGTAGTTACAAAAGGGATAGCAGTTTTACTACTAAATCTGCACAACCTAGTTCTGTAAGATATGTTATGAACTAGGCTGTCACAACCATCTGTTAAATTTTGTCACCCATACTGTTTCAGTACTGATACTGTTGAGTGCACAGTGATATAACAAGCACTTTGAATCTTCTTATGCACGTGTGTTGTTTCAACACTGTTCACTGGACCAAAACTTTGATCCAGTTAGGCATGGTCACAGTAAACATACTTGATACACTGGAATGTACAGAACAGTAATTTATTTTGACAAAACTGTGATCATCTAGGAAATCTTCAGAACTATAATTGTATATATATACATATATATATATATATAGTACTGTGCAAGTGTTGGGACAAAGTCAAAAATTAGATTTCAAAGAACAATGGAAGGTAAATCACGGGTGAAACATCAAAATTTGATTAATCTTCATATTTACTACAACATAAGCTCAGTGGAAGTGTTTGAATTCAGCAAAAAGTTAATATTTTGTGTGTCCCCTTGTGCTTTAATAACTGCAGACAGTCTTTCAGGCATTGTTGCAACATATTTAATCAAACTGTTTTTTGGGATTTTACTCCAAATGTCTTTGATACACTCCCATAAAATTTCTTTGGAAGTAACTTTTGATTTGTCAAGTTTTTGATCTATCAAATCCCAGCTCTGCTCAATTGGGTTAAGATCGGGGCTCTGTGGGAGCCACTGCATCACTTGAATGACTCCAGTAGCTTTTTTTTTTTAAATAAGTAATTTTTTCATAGGTTGGATGAGTGTTTGGGGACATTATCTTCTTGGTGATAGAATCCTTTACCAATAACATGCAAACCACTGGGTATACCATGACAGATCAGTATTTGATGGTACTTGCGCTGGTCCATTATTCCATCTATTTTGCAAATATTTCCTGTCACCTTAGCAGAAAAACACCCCAAACCATCACACTGCCCCCCCCCCCTACTTCATGGTAGGTGCTATGCATTGAGATAAGTATCTTTCACCTTTCTTCCACTGGACGTACAACCTACGCTTTGAACCAGATATTTCAAACACCTTTTCCAATCATCAACAGTCCAGTTTTGTACTTTTTAGCAATTTTCACTCTCTTGACAATACTTGGAGATAGAATTAAAGGTTTTTTAACTGCTACATGATAAAAAATTTCCCATTCTTGTTGAGTCTTCTTGATACTGTAGATCTGGACACTTTTCTGTCATTTGATAAATGGTCGTTTATCTCATGTTTGAGATCAGTGGCAGTCTTCCTTCTGTCCCGAAGGATGCATAAATGAAGATACTTATAATCAGTATCATTGTGTTTAGGTGTTCTGCCTCTTCCTTTCCTATTTTCAAACTTACCTGTCTTGGTCTCACGATCTAGTGACAGTGTTTGGGGAGCATTTCAAGTCTGCAATAATTTGTCAGAGAGTCCAACCACAATCATGTAAAGCTTCTATGTAAACTCTCTGCTCTAGTGACAATTCTTTACGCTTTTGGGGCCGTAGCATGCAACAAAACTCTAAATTTAATCAGTATGTTCATTCAAGCAGAACCCTTATGACATGTCCTTGGTACAAGTATATGGGAATTCTAAAGAATGATAAGTATTCTCACCCTGGCTCATTCAATGGTCAACAGGTATCAGTGAAGCATTACCATAGTGTTGAAATTTACATTCTGTAATGACATAGAAGAATTAGCCCCATAAAATGAAAAGAATGACAAAATATTCTCTTGTCCTAACACTTTTGCACAGTACTGTAAGTATGATAAAAGTCAAGGTCACATTCCCCTCCTAATCATCCAGAAAATCTGCAAGAAAACTGTAGCTGTAAGTTGAGAGTCAGGATCACAACCCCCTCCTGACAGATAGGAGAAATAATAAGTGCTGCTCCTATAGTGGGAAGTTATTGAGGGAGCAGCCCAGACATGTATTATGAAAGAACATAGTCCAGAAGTAGTTGCCCCTTTTCACCTACATCTAAAGTTGCCAGGGAGTCATACAACTTGCCAAATTAGTGGGTGCTCAAGGAGAAATAAAGACCCAAGCAGTCCCCAAAAGGATGAGCCCAACAATGTTAAGACAATCTAAATGGAACATCAAGTTTATTTGTTGAATTTTGAGCACAACAACTCAAGGGTTATCTGCACTAGCCATCCTTGATTTAGAAGTGATAGACTAAAGGGAAGTTAGTCAACACCACCATCTTCCAACTTTTGGGCTACTCTGTACCAATAAAAAATGGGACTGACTATCACATTATAACACCCCATGGCTGAAAGGCTGTGCATGTGTGGTGTTGGGATTCAAAACCTGTCATTCAAGTTGATCACCTTAACCATCAGGAAATGCCAGGCCTGGAAACCTTAAAATATAAAGAAATCTATACTATTATTCTGCTTGTTTGTATGTACGACCGTTATGCTTTCTGACCGAGAACTTGCTGCATAAGCATGCGTAGTTAGAATGTTTCCCCCAAGAAAAACTGCTCATTATTCACTCAACGACAAACAGTCTGCCTATGGCAGAGAGCTGTAAAGCTCAGTGATGTATGAAACAAGAAGTAACAACAAAAGCGGAATGTAAATATATTTTACTAACCATTTTGTACAACAGAATATTAAAAACTTATCAAAGTTTTTAAAAAAGGTTTGACGTTACATTGTAGAATAACATCATAAGTTTATTTATCGACAGTATTAAGTACAGTAAAGTTTAGTCCAAACTAAACTAAAGTAAAAAAAAAGTACACAGGTTACAGTGTTAATTTATCTCTTTATCAAACTTAGGCCTAACATAAGTTAAAGTTTTATAAAATACGGCCTATACACAAGTGGATTTACACATTTTGCTGTCTACGATTACAATTTGTTTGTGTTGTGCTAGAAATGTTATATTTAAAAAAGTACTATTACGATAAAGATACTAATTTGGCCGGAAATGTTTTGCAGGTCTCTGCTAATAAATAATGAATAAAAATCTGAATAATCCCCATTATGGTTGGAATGGAGATATGTAGTGATATATCAAATTCCATGTGATGATGTGAAGGTGGGAAAGGTACCTGCTGAGGCATTATAATTTACCATAGGGCAATCTTTGCCCTACTTACGAAGGGCAACATCTTCATATGGAGCCTCAGCACAAAGAGCCAAATAGTGTCAAGGACAGACACAGAGTCCAAAGAACAAAATGTGAGAGTCATAACTGAAAAAATTCATATATACAGAAACTCCCTATAGGAGATGCTGTATTTAATGCATTTTATTTTTCATGTGCTTGAAATGAAACATGCATAAACTTATACATTCTGAAGATAATAAAAAACAGGTGAACAACAGAAGAGACAAAAACCAAAAACTCACCTAGTACAGATTCCACTGAGCCTGGAGAATAAACAAAAGTGATAAATGGAATCCTCATACTGAAGAGGCAGCAATATGATGAATGTTAAAATGAAAAAAGTATTTGAATTCATCCCAATACCAGCTTGCAAAATGTCCACTAAAAGGTATTGAGAATGAAAGGCCAGAGATATAATCATGTGGCAAATTTGATCAGATATAACCAGAAATCACTTTGAAGATGTTCCTAAGCATTACAACAAACAAGATGAATCTACTACACGAACTGATTCACTAATGTAAATAGGACAAGATCCGTGGAGTGAGGTTCATCATATGCCATAAATAACCTATGTTCTACTTAAAAAAAACAACAACAAAAAAAACTGTAGTCATTCAAGATAGTAACAAACAGCCATGACAGGATGTATAAAATGTTCTGTGAAGAGAATCAAGATCAGACAATGTAGGTAACACCACAGAAAAATAGGTGACACTCTCCCATCATACATGTCTTGTTAAGAAGGCCTGATCAGGATGCAAGTACAGAGCCCTCCAGTAATAAAAAAAAGGAGTACAAGAAGCATCATTGGCAAACACATCTGATCAACTCCACTCTGAAACAAGTAACAAAAAATACATCTTCTGGGAAAAACAGTATAGCAAACTCTAAAAACCCATGAGTAAAAGTATGTTATGCAAACACACTGGAACAGGTTCAAAAGGAGAATATGCTATACGACCTAAGATCAATCTTAAATCCCACTGAAGATAATGGCTAGACACTCATGGGTGAGGTAAAAAAAAGCTATAAAAATTATACTGAAAAATGAGGATGAGAGAGGCATATGTCTTCCATGGCAGTGGACAAGAAGCAATTAACAATTAAGAAATATATGAAAAAGGAGGCAAGCTGCAGATGAATAAGTGAAAGAAAAGAAAAAAATTCTGCAGAAACCAACCACAAAAGACAAACTAATGAAGTTAGTACACTGCCAGAGAGAAACTTTGGCAAGAAAGTGACAACACATAAGGCTACTCAAAAGAGAATCTGGTGTTTCTAACAAAGGATGTCATAACAGTCAGCCATAAACCTGTAAACCATAAACATTGTTATGGAAGATGGACAGTCGAGGTTGGCTGAGAAGACATTTCTAAAACAGTAAAAGAAGAAGATCCATCTGAGAGAGACGACAGTAGTGGAAACCATGGTTAAGCAAGCTAGCATGGGCAATAAGAAGAACCTGACAACGGGACTCAATGATCTTGGCCAATACCCACAAGAGAGGTTGATGAGGAGGGTAGACAGAGATTTTTTTTCAAAACTGGCTCAAGGCAAAATAGTCATAACTGTATTCTTAAAACAACGTAATGGAATTCATCATTTGATAGATTAAAAATTGAAACTATCTTTCTATTGGTTATAAAATGATATTGTATAAAATGTCAGAGAATTATTGGCAATTTGTTAAAGACAGGATGAGTTCAAGTGGATGTGGCAAATGTGTTTAACTTTCTAGCTTATATCTCCATAAACAAATAAGATTGAAGGCTATACAAATTAGACTTTGCCTTTGTAATATCTATATTATAATGAATAATTTGTATTAAACTCTGTATTCCAGAGAGGGGTGGTAAATAAATTAAAGAAGAGAGAAGACCTAGAGTATAAGTGCCATGATTCTCATACTATGGAAGATTGAGAATTTATTATTTCCTTTTAAAACTAAAACTTATATAATATTAAAATTTGATTTATTAACAACATTCTAAAGGTCGTGGTGACACGTGCACTTTAACCTACCTGTAGCAAGAAGGTTAAAGAAGAGTAAAAATTCACACAGCTTTAATATTCAAGTATTATGGATTATTTTTGAAACACTGCAGGAAATATTTTCCTTGATGTGTATTCACAGAAAAATAGTTGAGAAAACTTAAGAAATGAAATTTAGCTACTCAAGATTCACACAATATTGCTTTTCCTACTTGTAATGAAAAAGCCTTGTATGAATAACAAGGATACCTTTCAGAAGTGTAAATGGTGTAGTAATTTACTCATCACGTAGAGTTTTTTTAAATGGGGGCCTCAAAAAAGGTCAGCATCATTTTTATGATAACAAATTACAAACCAAACTTGATACGAGTTAATATGAAATTTCAATTAGGCATTCCTTCTCTGTTCAGCAGCATAACTTATTATTGGCTTTAAATGAGATCTACTTTGGACTTGTATCTAGTTAGAGCACTGACATATATTCCTCATCAATTCTCAGCTGTTTTTTGCATGCATGCAAACAGTTGAAAACATTAGATTATCATTTTTTAAGATCAGTGAATGATATGTTCAATGCCATTTGAGCTGAATTGCAATTAGTGAAACTCACACATATGTATTGACTTTTTAAAGTCTAAAAACATGCAAATAAATGAATCACTGGAATAACCTATTGTAGGGTACTTAACAAAATATAAATCCTGACTGATATATGGTTCAAGTTGACCTAATTTTGACAGCTATCAGATTCAAGCCGAAAGGTCACTGAGTTACATACAGTCATGTTTAGATGAATCAAAAGTGTTTATCTCTGCAAAATTACATTTCCATTCATTTTGTTCACACAAATAGTAGTTAAGTATTTGAATGCAACTACCAACAGATGGTACGTGTGTTTTGAGGGCATGGACAAAAAAACCCATGGTGACAACAACAATGTACAGCTATGTTAAGAAGTATAACATCACAGTTACGTTAGTGTAGTAAGTAGCATTTAAACAAAGTTTAGTAAATATTTCAAAAACAAAGCTTTTGTAATGGTTTTTGCTGTTTAATAAGATTACCTTTACACAAAATTCATACCTCACCAATGCCATTCACATCTATATAATTAAACAAGCTGAAATACTCATCAACTGAAGGGGAATGTTTAAACTTTAATTAAAACAATGCAAGTTTAACAGCAATCATATATTTCAAAGTAATAACTTAAGCTTTACTTCAAAATTTTAAAATTATAACAAAGCTTCTCCATAAACAACATTTGCAGTTTGCTTTCCATCTACCAACAAATAAAGATTTTGAGGTGATCCCACCCATGAATACCCTACACTTCATTGACCATGAGAAAAGGCTTGGAGTAATTAACCAACAGGATTTACAAAATAGAAATAGGGTAAAGTTCAATTTTGACCCCCTTAGAACATTCTCCATAGTTCATTCTGTTTACATACAAATTTTGGTTAAGATCAGCCCAATAGGCTCGAAGGATGCAAACAAACACACATTTCATCTTTATATATATATATATATATATAGATGAGTAATGTGTGCACATGTGGAAACTTTTTAAACTTCAGTAAACTATTCAAAAATGAAATTAGGAATAGGGAAGTACAGACAACATTGCCATATGGTAAGAAAGGGGTGGGTGTACAAAGGGAAAGGTATTTGGGGAATGGATCTGTAATCCTCTACAGCTCCATTTCAGACAGCAGTGATTATGTATTAAGGTTTTGTGTTTGAATTTCTTCATTTATTCATAGACACTTATAGATTACCAGTACTGTCACCCTGTTGAGTTTTAGTACTTGCCCCTGATACCCAGGTTTTGAAAGCGTCACTATATCTGGTGTCTGTTACTAAATAAGGCAATCAGTTTGTCATTTTTGATCGGAACATTTGTCTCAAAGTATCTTTTGTGCTAGAGGTGTTTGGTAGGTATTATGTGTTGTGGAATAGGTTTACCCACTTAGGTGTAACCTTGCAGATCAGTTAGCTGTTTTAATTACTTTAAATACACAGCTCTGGATGAACATTTTATAAACTCTGTGCATTCAAGTACAAACTATCATAACCAAAAAATGTGTCATACATAAAACACAAGTCTCCCTCTAGTATAAATATGTTCCATCGGTGTGAAAACACACTGCCACACACTAATGTCTACATTAATGTAGAAATGTTTTACTAACTCTTCCTTTTTCTAGGATCTCCTTTACTGGCCGCAGCTTCATTCAGTAAGATCATACCAAACACAACAGCAGCATCTAACCAGAGTTAAGTGAAAAAAACAATGACTTTTCTTCTACCCTACCTTTACTGCTACCCAATAATTCTACACAAATGTAATTTCTTCTAATCTTAACTGTAGAGTTAGCCAATATTACTAACCCAAACAGAATGTATTTTCTTCTACCACTAATAGTCCTACTGCTAGTCAGAATTCTAAACAAACAGAATGTCTTACCTACTACCACCATCTGTTCTGCTAACTACTAACTCTAATCAAACAATTCATTATTTTCTACCACTACCTGTACTACTATCCAGAAATTGTTTCATGTTTCATTCAATTTCTTGGTATTAAAAACTGTGCCAAATCCTGCACAATACTATTATCTAGACAGCAAATGAGCAATGTACACAGCTAAATGAAATAATTACCTCAATCTCAGTGATTAAAACATTCACTAAGACAAGATTTTTAGAAAATATCAGTTTATCTTTCTCGTCTTGGTAGCTAATTGTCATAGAATTATTTTTTACTCTTACTAACTTGTTTATAAGCGAATACATTAACAGAAAGGATACTGAGGACAATAACAATGTATGTTTCTACAATAAACTGTCCACCACTGCTCCCATGCACATATGCCTGCAACAAAGAAAACAAATATATTTTTCAATTATCAACAGAATAGACACAGTTTAAGATGTATTACAAGAATCTGCAGAAAGAAACCTCAAATTTACTTTAGTGATGACATATCAGATTAGATTATATATTCAGAAATTCCCACTAACAGTGTGCTTACTTACACTGAAAATGTGTTAAAAGTAGAATAATATAGACAATTTATCAAATTGAACAAGAAATAACTACTGAATTAACAGCAAAAGAATAGTTTAAAACACAAAGATGACAATTCACAGTCACATTAGATACCTAGGAAAAGAAAAAGCTTTAAATATATATTAATAACACCAAACTTCACTGAAACCTACCACATTGCCTCTTGGTGTTCGGTGCATAAATGGAGGTCCTCTGATGTGATTCCACATTTGTCCTGATGTCATGGCAAAAACTATACACTGTAACAGGTCAACAAAACACTTATACATGAAACAATCAAGCTTATACAAAACAAAACAGCAGAGCACTTAAAATATAACACAATGAAATTTATATCTTGAAAGAGCAGAACTCAAACATAAAGTAATTAAGTTTTCACTCTAACAAAGAAGTAAAGAAGTTTCTCAATATTACAAAATCAAGTTTAGACAGTAACAAACCAGAATATTTTCATTTAAAAAAATAAGTTTATAGTTCAATGGGGTAGAACATTTATACTGGAACTAGACAGAATATTTACACACAAATCGATCAAGTTTATACTAGAACTATGCAGAATAGTTACATTCTATCAAATACATTTATACTGTAACTAGACAGAACATTTATACACAAAACGATCAAGTTTATACTGTAACTAGGCAGAATATTAACAAATAAATTTATATTGCAATGGGACAGAACAGTTATACACAAAATTATCCAATTTATACTGGAACTATGCAGAATAGTTACACACAAACAAATAGGTTTTACACTGATATGGAGCAGAACATTGACACATAAAAGAATCAAGCCTGGACAGTAACAGGCAGAATTTTTCCCAAGAAACAACCAATCTTATAGTGTAGCAAGCAGAACTTCTTCAAACAAACCAATCAAGAAGTAACAGGGCCGAATACTTCAAAATATCAAGTTTCTATTTTAGCAAAGTAGTAGAACTATAAAATATTAAACAATAAAATTAATGGTGTATCAGAGCAGTAGAGCTCTAAAAATGCTCATTCAAATTGTAACAGGTCAGAATACAAAATATTAATTACACCATTAGGACTATAAAATAGCATATAAATACATGTGAACAACTATACATATACCAACCAATACTACAGCAGTATAGATATACTTGTACAAGCTGGAATGACAATATATGTTTAGATACACTTTACATACTAGTATAAACATGCATATCAATCTTAAACAAGACAGCAAGCTCTTACATATTTAGATACACATTGTATACAACAATATAAACAAATGTACATTAGGGTGGAGTGAAAACTAAAACTTTTGACAATTTCTCCAGGGATGCAAAAGTTGCATAAGGATGACAGTAATTCACTATTAAAACATTTTTATCCACAGCATTAGTATTCTGGTTCTGCAACTGTATTTGTATGTTATGTGATAAAATTGCAGATCATTTTAAGGCATTAGTTGGTAACTCTTTGCTAAATTGGACCATTATGTGGCTGAAAATACCCAGAACCCACCACAGGTAGGTGGTTGCACATCGAGTTCCACCCTGCCTTTGTGGATCTTGGATTAATTTATTCATATGTGTAATCTGACTTAGTGTTGAAATGAACCCATCTCCGCTCTCAAGTCTGCAAACTACAACAGAAGCTTCAGTAATAAGGTATGTTTCTTGTTCTCTACAGCTTGAGTATGATACGAAAACTGATCAAACTCTAATTTTGGTGTGATCTCTTCCTGGTTTAGTAGCTGCATGAGCTATTCATCAGACATATGTTGGGTTAAAGGAGGTTCCAGCCTTCCATCATTTTGCTAGTCAGTGATTAAGTCCAGGTGGTCAGTCATAATGAAATTCATTTTGGGAATCCTGTAATATCTAATATCTGTGCAACTATGTCTTGCTTCTCTGGCACACATTGTTCTTTGAAGGGCCAGCTTTCTTACATGTTCATGGTCATCCACAAGCATAGCATTCAACACATCTTCAGGGTGACCATAGTAAGCATTTTTTTTAATTACCAGGTCAACAACTGCTTTCAAGTTTTCTGAAAGGTATCTTGAACCCCCTAACTATCTGCAGCAAATTCTTTGCATCATCTGTACACGAAGGCATTAGTTGGCATTTGTGTGAAACTCTTTGCTAAACTGGATCATTATGTAGCTGAAAATATCCAGAACTCACCACAGGTAGGTGGTTGCACATCGGGTTCCACCCTATCCAACCCAAATAACATGTTTAGATACTATAGATACCAGTATAGACATACATATACTTCTACAAGGTAACATGTAAATACATGTTTAGACACACTGCACACACCCTTATAAATATACATATTATACTTGTACAATGCAGCATGAAAATACATGTTTAGATACACTGTACACACAAACATAGTTAGACACTCCTACATGGGGTATATGTATATACATTATTCAAACCTATTCAGAAACACACACACACATATATTATTTAAATAAATTTAAGTTACAACAGTATAGACATGAGTATATATCTTGCACAAAACAAACATACTTAGATACAATGTACATAAGTGTATATATACAAAGTATATATCTACCACAAACCAAATATATACTGTATGCAGCAGTATATACATTCTGCAAACCAACATACACATATTCTAATATATTACACACACTAGTATAAACATGGATATTATACCTGTACAAGGCAGTATCACCAAATATATGTTTAGATACTGTACATCCCAGTATAAATATACATATTATATTTGTACAAGGCAGTATCACCAAATATATGTTTAGATACTGCACATACCTGTATAAATATACATATTATACCTGTACAAGGCAGTATCACCAAATATATGTTTAGATACTGTACATACCAGTATAAATACACACATTATATTAGTTAAAAGGCAGTATCACCAAATATATGTTTAGATACTGTACATACCAGTATAAATATACACATTATATTTGTACAAGGCAGTATCACCAAATATATGTTTAGATACTGTACATACCAGTATAAATATACATATTATATTTGTACAAGGCAGTATCACCAAATATATGTTTAGATACTGTACATACTAGTATAAATACAAATATATATATACAAGGTAGCATGAAAATACATGTTTGCACACACAAGTATAAATACACATATTATACATGTACAAGGTTGCATGACACTAAATGTTTAGACACACTGCACACACACACAAGTATAAATACACATATTATACTTGTACAAGGTAGCGTGAAAATACAGGTTTAGACACACTGTACACACCAGTATAAACATACATATTATACTTGTACAGAATAACATAACATGTTTAGATATTCTATACACACCAATATAAATAAACATATTATACTTGTACAAGGTATCATGACAATAAATATGTTGACACACTGCACACACCAATATAAAGAAATATATTATGCTTTTACAAGGCAGCATGACAATACATGTTTAAACACACTGTACACACCAGTATAAATACACATATTATGTTTTTACAAGGCAGCATGAAAATACAAGTTTATACACATTATACACACCAGTATAAACATAGAAAGTATACTTGTACAAGGTAGCAAGAAAATATGTTTAGACATATTGTACACACCAGTATAAACATACATAATACATTTGTACAATGCAACATGAAAATACATGTTTAGACATGATGTATACACTGGTATAAAGATACCTATATATACTTGTACAAGAAAGCATGACAATACAAGTTTACAGTCAGTGTACATACGAGTATAAACATACATACATATTATACATCTGTACAAGGCAGTATGACAATGCATGTTTAAATAACAAATAAATAACACACAACATTAAAATTGATACACAATCAAAAACATTTCTAAAATGCGGACTATACATGTTTTGATGTTTACAAATTATCACCTAGAGTAGACTTGTGAGACATATCTGTCATATAATATTTCATAAAAAGAAAGTAGTTGAATTAAATTTTGAATATAACTCGCTAAAACCTCGTAACATGCACAGAAATAAATGGCTATGGTGAGAAGGTTAGGTTCTTAATTTTATAAGGCTATATTTAAAAAACTTCTCAATTTCTCCTGATATGAGAAATGTGACATTTGCTCTCTAGGTCTTCCCATTTCTCTAATATATTTACCACCTTTCATGAAGTACAGAATTTAATGTAAATTACTCATTGTGATATTGTTATTACTCAGGCAATAATAAAAGAACACAACATTTTGTATAGTAAATAGTAAAAAAAAAACCACAGTAAATAGAACAAACTGTCAGAAATCAACACGAGACTGAAAAAGGTGCGCGAATGTGCTGAAACTAGTTTTTCTGATATCAAACTTTTGACAGTTTATTCTGTTTACTGTTTTTTTTTTTTTACTACTCAAGTGAAGCATAGTTTTTATAGCCTTTAATCTTATTTGGTTACAGAGCCATAGGCTAGAAAATCAGACCCCTCTTGCCACCCCCCACCTGTCACATCCTTCCTTTCACAAATTACCAATAGTTCCCTATGGCATTTAATACTGTATTATTTATAATCAATAGAAAGCCAAAGTTTTAATTTATAACATGACATATTACATTACGTTAGTTTCTGTATAAGGAATTGTCTATTTCACTCCCGGTTCAAACTTTATTAGCACAGGAAATACATCAATGAGCTTAGTTGAATTTTTAATAGCCATTATCTCATAGTTAGAAAGCCAAAAAAAATTATGATAGTTAGAGGACATTGTCTACTTTTTATGTGTTATTATTCTGTGTTCTTTGGTGCATTACTTAATTAAATAAAAAAATATTTAGTGCAGTAGTACCATTAGTATAAAAAATAGGGTTAACTTTCATCAACATTCTACAGCAAAAAAAAAAGATCCAGTTAAGTATTATATTTCTTGTTTTTCATATGTATTCAGTATTTATCATTATAAAAGTAACTGAAATATAAAACTTAGAAACTTTTCAGGTTACATAAGGTTAGAGTAGGTAAAATAAAAAAATAATCATTTTTCATGAGGTATGTTCACAAGTAGCTTGTGCATTACAAAATTCAACAGGGTAACATGAACTCTATATTCACCAAGTGATTTACAACTAACTTATTTGGCAGGATTATTAGTTATACACAGTTCAAAGGACAACAAAACAATAAAATTTCAGTAGAAATAGATGTATGCTGTTACAAGGTTTAAGCTTTTTAAGATAAACAAATGTAGTTTCCTGTTATAATTTGAAGTC